AATAAAATGTTCTTTTCTCAACATCTTATCTATATTTATAATCTACATCTTAATGGCAAAAGATATGAAGATGTGGTATCTAAATGCTGCTTGAGTGTGTAATTATAGGTATTTGAAGAGCAGGTGTTTCATTGTATCCAAAAATAAAATACTGTTGCTTTATGTTTGAATAGCAGAAAAAAATCCTTATTGCAAAATCAGTGGGAGTTGTGGTGGCTCAGTGGTATGGTGAAGGTTTTCTACTCTGAAAGACCCAGGTTCAAATTCTTGTGGGAATTGGGATTTTTATCTGGTGATTTCCAGTCTGGGGTGGCTCTGAGGTCAACTCAGCCTCCTTTCCAAGTGAGTACCAGGATCTATCATGGGGATAAAGTCAGCGGAGCAAAGAGCATTGTGACATAATCTCCTCCTTGTGCTGACAGCAACAAATAGATGGAGCCCTACTTTCGCCACCCCCGATGTCTACATATTAAAAATTTTCAAGTGAGAAGAATCTAATTCTATATTCAGAAGTGAGGTAAATTGAACATCTACCTGTGTAATTTAAATACAAATGTGTATAAAGTTGCATCAGTTTTCAAAGATCAAGATCTAGCTTGGAAGAAACATTTTGCAAACTTTTATACTTACACCTCTTTTAGTCATTTCTGCATTTTGCAAGCCCTTTACTTGACCCCATTACTTTACTTTGCAGATGGACAGGGTACAATGGAATTAGATCAGCAGTGATTCATTTTCTAATCAAATTACAGAAGAAACTGGCTGATAAAATGCAGATCTATTGAGATTGGTTTCCAACACTCACAAAACAAAAATACAGTAATGATAGTTCTACTACTCAAGTTTTCCCAGCAATATCCCAAAAAATTCAGCATGAGGGTGGCAATCCACCCCTGTTATATCATTGTATGGGTGACGCCAATTGTTTTACTGAAAAATTCCATTTCAATTTCAACAATATATAAGTTTATAATTTGGTTTAAGATTTTTTTTGAATTATTTGAAGCATTACTACAGAAAAGAAACAACTCCTTTAATTTAAGGAAATTGTGATCACAAATTTCATTAATACTATGTTTAAGCAGTCAGTGTCATTTTCCATAACCATCTAAATATTATAAGAAATAACTTTCACAGGTTCAATTCACATATTTTCATTTATAGACTATTCTCCAATATACATTTTTTTTATTAATGAGGGACAGATGACACCATGAATATTTCCTCAGGTGACACCAACTCTAGCTACACTATAGTACAGATTACGGTCATTTCAAATTTTGTGACTTTTACTTGAGAGGCACAAAATTATTTATAGAGTGTGTGCAAAAATAATAATAATGATAATAACAACAACAACAACAACAACAATAATAATAATAATAATAATAATAATAATAATAATAATAATAATAATAACAACAACAACAACTAATACTACCACCACCACTACTACTACTATTACTACAAATTATAACTCATTGCAACAAATAACTACAAAAATACATTGAAAAACTTCATGTTAATGATAAACATAGAGTATATGTTATTGGTCATCAGAGTCAGTACATCACCTGATGCACAAATCTGACCAACATATATGTACCGGCACAGCCTTATACCAAGCACTAGCAACCAAAAATTGTCTTCTGGCGGAATAAAAAACCTACCCTTTTAAAATATATGATAAATAAATTTTCCAGGCCCGCCCAGTATTTCAAAGTCCACGAATTTCAAAGAAGCCCATGAAGTTCAAGGGGCAAATGATGTAACATAATTTGTATTATAATTTTAAAATTGTTTCATTGACTTAATTTTTATCGGACTTTATTATCTCGTGTAAAGTTACAAGTTATTATATTTTTTAAATTAAAACCATGTGCGGGTCATAGTATATTTATGTAACGTCCTGAGACAACGCGAATTCGGGACAGTGGACTAAAGATCCGCGGTGTAGGCTTTTACGGTTTAGTTAGATACACAGAAACTACGGGCACCTGCAGCAACTGCTCTGAATTCTCCATAAAAGAAGCCGCCCGACATTAAACATTTGCTATTCACGTGTTGATATATGACTTTTTTCACGTAGTATGACTTTTTTTTACATTCTTCATATGTAAAGAACTATTGAAGGTATATGTACTGTAATATGTTATGGTATTATTCGTGTGTACTGTTGTTGTTAGAGCTATTAATTTATTGCATTGTGATATAAAAGTATTTTATTTGTTGTTCTTGAGCAGTATGTGTGCTACTTTGGGGGGGGGGAGGGGAATATGTCGTTTTGTTCAACGGCATTTCTGCTTCTGCTGCTGCAGGGAACTATCAATAAATTTGATAATATTAAATTGTAAATTGTACATATTCTTATCTGTAAATTGTTTAGAGCCCACACAAACTTTTTCTACCGGAGCCCGTTATTGTCCCTCGTTAAACCCGTCATAGAAAGTAACCAGTTAAAAATGTGTTACCGCGTTCCAGTATACTGATGAAACAATTTCGGCACATAAACCAGACTTTCTATTGAATAACTTAGATAAAGCATTGATCTTTATTGTTAACACCTCACAGATCACAAACCAAACGAAGCGGGGAAAAATGCGAAATAGTATGAAAAGAAATATTGAGCCTGTTGAGATTGTCAGAACAACAAATGAGTTTGTTTACAAAAATATAAAGCAGGTTATTCATTCTTGAAACTTACCGAATTGTTCGAACTGTACCAAATATGTAAATTCGGACCCACAAACTCCACCCTTAAACACCCCACAAACCTTGAACCCCGGGCGAGAGAACTTCGAGAATAAAGGTAATGATGATAATGATGATGATGATGATGATAATAATAATAATAATAATAATAATAATAATAATAATAATAATAATAATAATAATAATAATAATAATTATTATTATTATTATTATTATTATTATTATTATTGTTAATACTATAATTATTAATAATTATATTGTTGTAGATCGCTATGTATTTGGATTAAGGGTGTCCAGAAGACGCGATGGAATTGATGAATACATAAAAGAACTGTAATTATGAATTATGAAACTTTTAGATGAGTGCAATAATCCAATCATTCGATTTGTAAAACGAACACGTGGTAAACATTTAGTTGTTTCTGAAAGCGCAATGTAAGAGTGAATCAAATCTAGATTTCATTGGCACGGCTGATCACATATTTTGGGGCATGGTAATGAAACATTTGAAATGATCATTAATAGAAAATATTCATACATTAATTACTTTAGTTTCATCAGAGCAAATAAACATGAGACTAGTACTGCATCAGCGTTGTAAACGGTTGTTACCACTAATATATCTTTCCAACATTCTTTTAAAATAATGCAAAATTATTTAATGTATAATTCCCATTTTTCTACGATTATTATGTTTGCTACGTTGGTTATGTTTCTATGATGGTTATGTGACGTTTCCTTAATTACCTCAAGAACGCATTATTTTGTGAGTCTCAATGAACAGATTGCTGACAAAATCATCCATGTCGAAGAAACGTAATTTAATTATGTCACTACATAATTCTAAGAACGCAGATTTTTTAAAAAATCTTCTATTCTATAACATTTGTATAGGGACAAACAATAACTTTTTAAGACACATGACCGTACAGCTGGTTAGAAAAATCATATTTCTTTTTAAATCCGCATTGATATGAACGTCTTGGACAAAACTACACAAGATCAGAGTTAGTACCTTATGTACGTCATGTATGAATTTACTGAACATGATATTGAATCGTCACGAAAATCATTTAAATGTCTTTAATTTTGACTAATGCACATTTCCAAAATTGTTTCAGAAGAATTTCCGTCATCAACCAGAGAATAAAAGCATAAAACCTTCTAATTTTGGATTCACTAGACTTGTAAAACGTATATAAAATAGTTTTTGATTTTATATAAATATACGTGAAATGTTACTCTTCCTCGTAATGTAGATGAGAAAGATCACATCTACGGTAAGGTATGTATGGTAGTACTGTACTGTATTGGGGCTGTAGTGGGCTATTACGGCGCTTTTCTGTCAGATTTGATAATCTTTGAAGATGTTTTCTAATTATTGTGGTGCTAATAGTTAAATTATCTGAATCGCGCAAGCTCGCACTTGCCAAAATCAAAGTCTAGGGTTTGCAGTTGAAATTAAAATAGTTCATTTCTGTAATTACTTATTATTATTATTATTATTATTATTATTATTATTATTATTATTATTATTATTATTATTATTATCATTGTTGTTGTTGTTATTATTATTATTATTATTATTATTATTATTATTATTATTATTATTATCATTAACCATTGTTATTGTTTCAAAATTACGCTTCTTAAAGCACTACATTAAAGGATGAACAAATTAAGATAATTACTCATTATTACTTCAAATAGTACGTACTAATGAAATGTTAACATTTCAAAACATTTCTTAAATAAGGCAATAAACCAATCTTGCCAATTTAATCTGATGGTTTGTCTTCAAGAAAATAAACGTATAGAAATGATTCTCTTTATTAGGTACTTTACTTTAACGAAAGATGTGTAAAGCCATGTAGGTATTTGTGGAAGTTAAGTGTAATAAATTATTGTATTAACATAAAAATAATGAATTACTAAATATATGATCATTAGAGTAATAATATTATATTTATCAAACTATAGAGTATGTTTTAGCGCAACACACACGAATCAAATTTAAAATATAAGTTGTACACTATAAGACATGTATTAAATATTGTTATGGTATTATAAACGTAGAAAAGTACATTGCTCGGTTATTTACTAACTTGGTTGCGCGCGCGTTCACTGCGCAGACCACCACGCGCAGGGCACGTCTTGCCCTGTAGCTCCTAGGAGCCTCGTTGATTCCAGGGCGACGCGGTTGGAGTGGAGCGCTGCTGGCTGCTCAGTGGCTGTGTGACCAGCCGCAGTTCAGTTCTGGCTCAGTCTGCGGAGAGTTGCGGAGGGGAACGTGTGGCAGTCGCTGCGGCTGTGTCAGTTCATGTATCCCAAGAGAGATCACATATTTACATTTCTTTCAACGTTGATAACTGGATAGTGTATGTACTTCATAATAATTTCCGAGTACCAGTAGTTTCGAAACTGAATTTTCATTTACATGAAGAACGAAGTCATATTGTTGCTTTGTGGAGAGCAACATAAGGAGCGAATGTTCCAATGAAGAACAACCATCAGCACTGTGAAGTTTCGACGATCCCTTTTGCAACAAAATGGCGGGTACAGTGTTTACCTGACAAGAATTAACACTTTTACTTGCGTTAAAGGAAGTGGAAAGATTGGAAGTGATTTCTGACACACTCTGCTAGCTCTGAGAGTTCCGATTCTTGTCATTGTCTTGTCTTGTGTTGCAATGATGCATTAGACACGTGGTATTTTGACGTTGTGGTGACATATTAGTGCCATTTGTTTATTTAATGCGAAGAATTTAGATGCCAAAAGCATTCAGCGTGTAAAAGATCTGTGGCGTCTTTCAAGTATTGTTTCGTGTGATGGATTCTATTGTGTACATCGTCGTGATGAGTTAACGTCATGTTTTTCGGGAGCAATTGACAGTACAAGAATATGAAAAAGGAGGATCTTTTACACCTGTAACATCAACGGTGTCGTCGCAAGTAGCATCACCTGGTGTATTTACTCCACACGGTAAGATAGGCTTGTTTTAATGGTGCCTTTTAAAACAGTTTCGTGTTTTTTGTTGTTTGTAGCTGTCGCATTTTCTGTTTTTTGTGGAAGTATGCATTTAGCATGCACTAGAAATAATCCCTCGATTTTAAAAAGAAGACTAATATTATATTTGATTACTTTAACCTTTACTACCGGGGTTTTACAGTTTTATGTAGCATATAAGAAAAGCACTTTCTATGAAAACTTCGTATTTTATGTTTTATTCAGGTGAAATCGGATAGCCACTGCTTGCATGTTTATTATCCAAGTTCACTGACGCGTAATTTTTAAGAAATAGTTATTTAATAGCTAGTTCAATGACTCTAAGGCGTGAGCGCTGTGTATGTGTGTAGGGGCGCGCGCGTGCTTCGCGGGCGAGCATGTGTGAGTATGCGAGTTGTAAACATACGCTTTGTCTGGAGTAAGCGAGGACAGTAGCATGGTACGAATATTTTGCATGAAAAATTGAATGATCAGTGTTGTCTCTTGTTTATTCTGTTGTTGGACAAGATGTATTAGGACCAACGCAGGGTGCAAGAGAACATGTAGATTATAACTGTCCGCGAACATTATCGTCGTTAATGAAATCATTTCGTTGTATTGTTTGATATGCTGATTGTTAAGTTTTGGTAGGGCGTGCTATATGTAATTAATAAGGTATTTGTAAAGTTAATCTCATTACATCCACTTGTTGAAATTTGCATGCACTATTTTGTCAAAATAGCGTGTTTACGGCTTAAGTTGGTATTAGAAAAATGAAATACTTGTTAGAATGAGTTGGGACGAATTACGATAACGGACCATAATTGAAACGATTATTCAGGAGAGTAGATTTCTTTTGAATGCTAGTGACAAAATCTTCATTCTTATTTTACATGCTAAAAGTAATATGTAAATGTCAATTCACACAATGTCATTACGGCTTTCTATTTTTGCTATGAAATTATAGAAATGCCGAATAAAACATTTGTCAATTCGAGCTAAATTTATCTATTATCTTCAGCAATTTTATTAATTTTGTTAATTTGTCATTGTCATTATTTTTCTGCGTTAATATCAAGCAAATCATTTCGGCATAACTTGTAGTATGTTCATCTTTAGTGATTTTATTTTCAGTTTAAATATCCACTATATGACTATTACAAAACTTCTTACTTTTGTGTGTGGAAAACGTAATTGTTTAAAACAAAATGTGCAAATGCATTACACTTCATTAATATGTCTGAATATGGTCACTTCAAGGAATAATAACAGAACTACAATACTTATATGGACGTCACAACCACTAAAAATGCTTGGTAAACGATATTTATTTTCTTGAAATAATATTAATTAGCATTGCGTTTTCAGGTCAGATTTTTTTTTGGGGGGGGGGAGGTTCCTTTGATTCTTATACCTGAAATTGTGCGGATAGTTTATTCCCATGCAATTATGAGCTTTTTAAGTTAACTTCGCTATACCTCTTTTACATTTGACTTATGAATCTTTGAATAAAGCTGAAATACAGTATCACAGACAAACGCCATCAATGTGCAATGAGAACATCGTTAAATGAAGCGTAAGTATATACACTGCTCCGTCTCTCTGACAGTAAATTCTATGGAACTTCCCCTCCCACAAAAACATTTATATTATTAATATAATTTTGATTTTGTATGTCCGAAAATAAACATAAAAACAAGATTATAAATATGCCTGGATTGAAAGTGTTAATCCAGGCAACTTCGACTCTCGTTCCACTAATCTAAGCTTTGGGACTATCCACTACTATGAAATTAATGTAGTCGTCCCTGAATAATTGGAATTAAAAATTATCTAATTAGAAGATACATTGGGTAAAAAGGCTATGTAAATAATTATTATGGAGTTCTTTAATATAGAAAAAAGGATTCACTGTTTTTTCAGAAAAATTCCTGCTCCTTGCCTTCAGCATTTTACTCGGCAAATTACACACGCAATTAGAGAAAACACGCATCGAGACGCAAATTACATTCGTGTCTCTATAGTTATTAGTAACATCAAGAGCATTGCTTTTAAATAATAATAATTTTATCTTTTTGTAATGATTATTTCCTCGGACTTTCCAATTTTGAATTAGGAATCTGTATTCGTAGCATCTTACAAATGCATAGTTTTTAATCAATATTTCGTCAATTATTATCATTATTATTTCAATATTATATCTAGTTCTCGGTCTTTTGTACGATTTTAAAAATATTTAGAAAATAATTATGTGTGAAATACTCGGGGAAGTTCATAGTATGAACACAGAAAATGTCAAAATCCGGAGCTCATTCACTGGACCTTTATATATTTGATTACTTAAATAGAAAGTAAAAATAGAAAATAAAATTTATGAGCAATTGTCAGAATTTTGAAAAGCTTTTAGGCCTAATACATGAAAAATTGAAATTTACCGTGTCAATTCAGTCGATGTGTTAATTGTACAGTGGTATATTAAATATTCATATGCGTAATCGCTTCCTGACAACCGTAATTGACGAGGAGAAGAATAAGTAGAGCTTGGATGTTTTTCGTTGGCAAATTTTGAATTGTGGCATATAATACGATAGCTTAATGCTGCGTGTTAGCATAGTATTGTTTTATGGATTCTCGTTACAGTAATTGATTTATGAAATAGAGAGAATTCTAACAGGAGTTCAATTTGTTGAATTATTGCAATAATGCAAATGATAGTGTAATTAATCGGTGAACTACAGTATATTTTTGCTATTTCTTCAAACAATTTCTAGAGTTTATTGTAGTACCAGTATAGTATGACAACAAAATAAATTGCGTAGCATTTCTTGCTGTATTGCATATTTCTAATTTTTTTTCGTGTGTTTTTTCGTTTTGTTTGTGATATTCCTGACAAATTCTTTGAATTAAATTGAAATTGTTTTAGAATATTTGTTACAGTGTTTAACTTCTACGTAAATGTCAATGTTAACCTTTAAAAATGTCCGTAATTATTCTGTTTGCATCATTGCCTATACAAATGGTTTTGATGTTAGTAGTTTTGCTGTGAACGTACTGCTGTATTTCTTGGGTGCGCTTCATGTATACTATCTGCGCCATGTTAAATGTAAGCTGTTGCGCAGCTGCAAAATCTGGTAATGTCAGAGAATGTTACGTCCTCAGAAAGTGCAGGGAATTGTACTAGAACCCCAGTGTTGCTTAAAGTTCACTCAAATTCGAGAAACTGTCATATTGTGTTCTCTTATTTGGCTAACATCAACCTGATGTCATATCTCAATGAGATTGATATAACTCAGAAACCTTATAAAGAAACACTTGGATGGTTTCAGCCGAAATCTGGCGGAATTCGATGATGGAGAGATAGGGAATGAAATAAAGTTACCCAATGTGTGGATGGTTTTTGAAGATTATTTCAGTCTATTTTTGTATCATAAAGAAACATTGTGTGATGAGTTGGCGGATTTGATTTCAGCTATGTGGCCATACACTGCCACCTCTATTGAAATGCTAAGATCCTCTTTGTAGGATCATCCTGTTCAAGTAAAAATGTCCCATGGAATGTTGTGTAATTTATTTAGAATGTGTATTTTTGGGTCATTTAAATATGATTTAGTTTCATCTGTTCTTATTTGTTTCATCGCGGAAATTAATGGTGCAAAGCAAGAAATCACCACGGGTAATGTTAGTTTTTTTGACTTGATATAGGAAGTGATTTTCTACTTTCTGTTCAAAAAAAATTCTTTAAATTTTAAGGAGAGACTTTTGTATTGCTACTTCATTAAGGGCAACTCTAGTGAACGTATAGCGAAGTAATGGCAGGAGTAGATTAATCCATAAGCAGATTAAGCACGTGCTTACGACCCCATTAGAAAGGAGAGGCCAATATTTTAAACAAAAATATCAGTTCAAATAAAATTGAATGTATGTTGATGTTATTTTGTAATTGCAAAGGATAGCTCCTACGTTTTATTTCGTTTACTTTATACAGAAAGAGGTTTAATTTTGCAATTTGTTTTTTCCTGACGTTGCTAAAGAATCGTGATTTCAATGTTGCATTTTTCATCACTTTAGATGAAGGATATGTTAGTTAAAGACACATTATGTATCGACGAATTTCTAAAACGGTTACCGTTGTCATCTATGCAAACTAGTGAAAGTTTATTGTATTTGCCACGTTTCTTCGCTGTCCATGAGCGGGTATTGCTGAAATTTTTGTGTGAAAGATACAGGTGAAAGTGGCAATGGTATTCGCGTGCACATGTAAGGGAGCTATTCTGCGCCTACTATGAGGGTAACCATAGGTCAACTTTTTGCGAATGTATTATGTTCATTATACACCTATATGGCTAGAAGATTGTTTAAAATTAGCAAATTATTTGATTTCGAGGTTATAAACTCGACTTAAGATATGAATTTTGAGACTTATTTCTCCCGGTTTCTTTTTGTTGTTGTTGTTGTTGTTGTTGTTTTTGGTCAATTAACGATGAGTTTTTATGGAAATACATCACCGTACAGATTTCTCAGAAACGTTAAATACTGTGTTTCATATCGTGTTCTACTGGTCTCTGGGAGCGCAGGTAACATGACTTCAAAAAGTGGAACACGGAAGAGTTTCTCTTTGTGAGAAAATTGCACGATAGTCCACCCAGAGCCCGGCCAAGTGAAAGAAATGGAGAGTCGGTGAAGGCAGTTGAAGGTTTTGTACTTTAAAGCCGCGATTTAGAAAAGATTAACCTAATGAGATCACGTCGATAAAGTTTACGGTGGATGATTCGGAATTCCTTTTACCGGTAAACGCCCACGTCCACGGCGTGCCCAGAGGCATTCCAGTCATCGCCTTGCACGTGAACAACATGGAAGACGCAACTTGCTTTCAATGATTTACTGAACTGTTTTCCTATGAAACGCCCACCTCGTGTTTGTTCCGTGTTAGCTTTGTTGGAGAACTGAGTGTGTCAGAAAGCAAGAAACTGTAATTTTGGTGGAACCAGGATGCTTTG